AAGTTGAGTCCAGTAATCTTGTCCAAATTAAAGCGATTCGTAAAATCATCCAAGTCAATTGCCATATTTAAGGGGCCTTTCAGTAGACATTTCAGGTGATGAAAGTACCCGTAACGCCTGGGTGGTCTTCCTACAACGGCCTATACAAGGACGCTCCGCCCAAAAGGGCCAAGGGGTTCCTTTTTCAAGCTTCATATATACAAAAGATAGAAATTTCTCAAGTTGAGGTGAATGAAAGGGTGGGGAAATCTTTTATTTAAGTATAACGTGAACGGTTCATAACTAAATGACACTTAAGCTTTTTGGTTATTATCTCTTCTGGTAATGCTTGACTTTCTCCAGTAGCATTGTTCATTGTCATTCCAAGGGTTTAAAAAAGGGATGAAGCGTTCTTGAATTCTGAGGTTTGTGAAAGAAGTTCCTAAAAAAGATGTACGAAAGGGTAAGGGTTGGACCTTAGGAAAGGAACCTCCACGTACAAAATGCTTTACAACAGCAATGATGGTGTTTTGTTTTATCATCAGTTCTGTTCAGAGTTCATGTTGTACAATCATGTTTCAGAAATTATAGGATCAGTACAGGCGTTCCAAAAGCCCCTTTTTAAAACTGTTGGTAGTCCTGGCAAGCAAAATGTTTTGAGACGTTGGCAAAGTTTTTTTTTTTATACCATCGTACTCAGTGGGTGTTGCATAATCAGCATTTCTTTTGCGCCATTCATTCACGCCGCCCTTTACGTTTTATCACAATAGAAATCGTTGCTAATTAGTGTACATTGTAGTGTGAGCGTAATATATGCAAAATGCTAGCAGGTCTAAAACTCGTGGATTTTGGCCCTACATATTATTATTACTTCGATTAGTGTGTGCGCGAATAAAAAAAATTTTTTTCACAGAACCGAGTAGTTAACGGTGGGAATGCTTAATTTTGATTGATTCGGTTTCGTTTTATTAAAGAAAAAGAGGTATTAGTTATCAAAGTTCAAACTTCTCTTAATCGTCTCAGTCCGAGAACTGAGAGCTTAACTTGCTTTCCTGAATCTTCCTAAACTCATTTAGAATTCCGACAGTCAAGTTTAAAAAAAGCTAAGGAAACCTTAACCGTGACGATGTTTGGATATCTGATCTTAATTAGTATGGATGTTTACTAGAATACCAGGGCCGTGCTAAGAAAAACGGAAAAAATTAAAAAACAGAATAAAAAACAAATTAAAGCTAAAAAAAATGAATGCGGCTGATTCCGCGGTTTGCCTGTTACTAGCTACGTCCCTATGATTTTATTTTCCCGTTTTCTTCTTGGTTTTAGTTTCGATTGATAAAATATATCAAACATCAACACCGTGTTTGACCTTACATTTCCAAACACCTCCAAATTCGTCAAAAATACTTGGCTAAGTATATTATTTTACTTGGTGTTTGGATCGTGGTCAAACTAGGAAACCATTGAGATACAAATTTTAGTGTCATCTACAGAGTTGAAATTTGGTACTGTAAAAGGTTCAACTGAACTGAAGCTCACTAGTTTGTTGTGGGCTCTCTCTTCGTCAGAGCGAACGGGAGGTAAAGACGTTTTTGAGACGCCCTCAGAGTTGTTTTTGAAATAAATCCGAATGCCATTCGCGTCTCGAAAACGTCTCGGGTAAGTTTCGCAGCAATTATGCATCAAGGGGAGGGTTCAAGGGGAGGGTTCAAGGGAAGGGTTCTTGAGGTCATCAGAACCAGAATCAAACGCTTGCTTTTAGGTTTATACTAATTTTCGAAAGCATAGGACTTCTATCTTTTTCAATCCGGAAACAGCCCGGGATACACTCTCACTTAGAAACCGCCAGCACTTTAAGAAACTGAAAGAATTAAATCCATCGCTAAATTAAAAAGTCCGTTTTTATGGAGTTACTCGTCTCTGCGAGCATTGAAGCCATTGACAGTTTCGATCGCGATCAGTGTCAGGTAACGGTAACAGAAGTGGTGCATGAGATCATTCGTGTCGCTGTAGCAAAGATTTTAATTGATTACTAGCTCGAAAAGCTTCATTAAGTCAGCAATTAAGAACGCGGGTACAACCCTGACATGCAAGTGCATTGAAGCCATTGACAGTTTTGATCGCGATGTCAGGTAACGGTAACAAAGGTGATGCATGAAATCATTCATGTCTCTGTAGCGAAGATTGGTTACTCGAAAAGCTTGATTATGTCAGTAATTAAGAACGCGGGTACAACCCTTACAAGCAAGTCCATTGAAGCCACTGACAGTTTTGATCGCAATGTCAGGTAACGGTAACAAAGGTGATGCATGAGATCATTCGTGTCCCTGTGGCGAAGATTTTAATTGGTTAGTCTAAAAGCTCGATCAAGTCAGCAATTAAGAACGCGGGTATAACCCTTACATCAGATTTCAAAAGTAACAGTTTTATTTCAATTTAGTCGAAGCAATTCAAACCAGAATCAAATCAATCGCTCCGAATACCAAGGGAAGATGGCCAACGGCAATCTTTTGGTCTCTGTTTTGTTGTTAGCCTTCTTAATTGGCTTTTTATCCTCAGCTTCCTCTTCTCGTCAATCAGCTTAAACACTTGATTTGTGTGATCCTTTACAAGCAAGGAAAGAAATCATCATCGTCATTGTTGCTCACAACGATCAAAGTAGGAGGGTGACGATCAATGGAGATGGCAGGAAATCACATTACGAAGAACACATACGTGGGGAAAGCTTACAACAAGAAGGTGAAAATGAGTTCCAATCTGAGCAAAAAGCTATCAGGTCAGTGACAGTTAAATCAAATGCCAATAAAATCTGTGTCAATGCCCTTGTCGTTGACACAATCATTGTGGTAGATCAGCCAACAGATTTCATGAACACCAGTTGTCAAACCGAGGCTCCTGAAGACTTAGAGCGCCCCTGCAAACAATTAGACGACTCAATTGATGTTTCAAGGCTTTTTGTTTGTCCCGAGCAGCTGAAAGCTCTGCTCCTTAAGAAAAAACTAGTCCACATTAAACCTGGGTCGGAAACAACCTTGGGAAACGTGGGGCCTCCCACATACGACAATACGGACGATATGCAGGAGGCATCATCTGCGATTGCTGCTGGGGTAGTCGGGGGTGCTGGTGCCATTACTGAAGCAACGCAAAAATATAGAGAGGCTAGAAGTGACAAACCTCTTGAAAAACTGGGAAAATTTGCAGCAAAGTTTGAAACAGCTACATCGTTCATCAGTGCTATAGCTCCAATGTTTAGCGTCTTCAGTGGAATCGCTTCCATTGTAACGACGTTCCTGACTCCAAACCCATTTGATGGGCTAGCGCAATCTTTGGACGAGGAGTTCAAACAGATAAACAACCGACTCACTGACATACAGGCGGACATAGCTGACTTGGGCCGCCTTATCGAGGTAAGAGGAGGAGTGTTAGCGATGGCAAATCAGCTTAGCGCTATACGGTATGCCATCAGAAATTATGGTGTCTTGGTAGATGCAATGTCGGCTAAACCAGTTTGTGGAGCAAGAGAATTGCCGCAGATGCCAGAAGTAGAGCAATTCATGAGACAATATCAACACAGTGAGTCCTTCGCTAAGACCATCGAGTAAGCCCTAGTTAGCTAGGCGCTTTTTATGAAAAGGAGACTCTTTTATCTCAAACTGTGTTACGAGTTTTAACATCTCTAGTAGTTAAATGCTCAAAAAACGGTAGGATCACACAAAGAGGCCTTTGGTTGACCGGGTTAGCCCGTCCTCCATATGAACCAGTGCTCCGTTAGATTTTACAAAGTACATATAAGTAATATATCAAAGACGAAAGACCGTGTTAGACTTTTTTTCCAAAACAGCGAAAAGAGAGTTGAGGATACGACGTGTAGTGGAGTATTTTTGACGAGCCTCGAGGTTTTTTGAAATGTGGTCAAATACTGTCTTGAGAGTTTGACATGTATCTCCTCAATCGGAACTAAAAATTAACACTAAAATTGTATTAAGGCGAACTTTATATGTAGAAGAGAGAGTTCTTCGCTGGTCTTCGGTAACCCATTAAAATCTGGCACTTCAGTTTTGTCTTTTCGAAAGCATTGTCATCTGTCGATAGTGAACTGTGATCGTGTAGTGTGATCGCGTAGTGAGCTCGTGTAATGTGATCGTGTAGTGTGATCGAGGAGGTTTTCATTTTTTAGGTACTTTAATTGTTTCATTCTTTACCTTTGAAAACTAGGTACATTATCAGTAGGATATAATTTAGGGAGTCTCTACACTAGTGTTTTTGTATGGTGTAGCTAAGTTAGTTCGCATTAGTTATCGGTATTAGCATATTGTTACAGAATTATTATTTACAATTACCTTTTTATCTTTTATCGTACTTCAGTTTAGGTTTTACACTTTTCTTTAGGCAGGACCCCTTTGATAACAATACTCATGCACTGGATAAATATTGGTTATTATTGTTACTATTATTATAATTATTATTATCATTAATATCATTATTTTTATAAGTGTGATCGTGTGGTGTGATCGTGCAATGTCATCTTGTAGTGTGATCGTGTAGTGTGACCGTCCGTGTGAGGGTATTCCTGAAAAGCAATGTTGTCAGTGACAGTCATGATGGACTGTTATTCTCATGTTCAAAACATTTACTGTAAGGGCCATTTTGCTGTTTTTTTTTTCAGGTTTCGTAGATAACAGTCTTTTGGATCTCTATGGGGTAGAGCTTGGTGAACTGATAGAGGCAACCTCTCTGCTAAAACCATTCATGATGGCTTGATTGTCATAGCAAAAAGCATCTCGTACAGAAGTTTGCAGAAGAGTTGATGTACTATGCTTATGCAGGTCTGCAATCCCACTTCACTTGCCGCAGCCTTTAGGCTGCAACAAAGGGCTTCAAAAGTGACCTTGATAGTGAAGCGAACAAAGCTTTGATGACAAAACTAGTTTTTTATTTATTTATTTACATTTTTAATGATGTAATGTAGTTTTAGGATGTCCCCAATTAGTGCCATTAATTAGTATATCAGTTTTAGAGTATTTATTAATTTGTTTTAATGATGTAATGTAGTTTTAGGGTGTCCCCAGTTAGTGCCTACAGGCACTAGAACGACTAGACACGTTAATAAAGGTTATGTATGTATATATGTAACTCTACAAATTTGCGAAGATGGTGGAAGTAATTAGGGAAGCTTTGTCATCCGAACTACCAGGTCGTATACTCTACTTAAAGTTGGAGGATGAAATTTTGACGCAGGTAACAAAAGATGAGAAAAGCATCATCCATTTGTTGAAAAAGAGGATCATCGACCCAAACGACTCGCCTTATCAGTGTGTACTTAAAGGGGCTGATGGTCGACGGGAAAGCAACTCTCTGATCATACGTCATCAACAATTTAAAAAAGTGGGGCTTTGGGCCGGCGACCCGGCGTTGAGAATTGGTCGATTAACAGCCCGTGGGTCAAGGTCCTCCGAAAGTGGAGTATGAGCTACAACAAAACTATGTGAAAGCAGCAAAAGGGACACGGTTGGGTGAATGTAAAACGCCAGGAGTGGATAGTGCAGTGTTTGTAAGTTACTTTCCAACTCCTTGCTGTGGAGAGAAAAAAGTGTACATAACAGGCATAAAGATGGCTGTCTGCTTTTATGAACAAGGATTAGATCCGTATGGTTATTTCAAGGACTGTCATGCGGAAGATATGAGAAAGTGTGAGTTCCGCGGCTCCAAAAGAATGCTGAAAAATGCAGACCGTTTCTGATAAGACAGAAAGAAATTAGGCTGTCGTTGATTAAAGCTTGTTTATGAACAGCCCGCCGATCACAGAAAGAATATTGTTAAATCAATCGCTACCACATTTATTATCGTCTGACTAGTTTCTCGCTCATATATCGGAAGGAAAAACGCAGTGCAAGTTGGTCTAATGAAAAATGTGCTCAAAGTTTGATATGTACCCTTGAGGGTTTGTAATCAGGATTTTTACGCTGTCTAAACAGACTCTACGAAATCAATTTAAGCTCGTCTTCCATGTTAAATTAGATTCTAAACGAGTCCAAATACCAGTTTAACACGTGAATTTTATGCTACCGTGCCGCGTTCAGTAACTGATCACAGATGGCGTCAAAATATAGTGGGCGCGAAAAAGTAACATATTCTATCAAATATGCAGAATGATCTCCGACCCGTTTACACCAATACTGCAACCTTTGAAAACCTTACACAGTGAACAAATTAAGAAATCCTGTTCTTAGAAGCAAATAGATCACACTATTGACTACATGTCACGTGAAGCTTCTCTTTTAAAACAATATATTTGGTAACTGTACATGTCAAAAAAATGGTCGAAGAAATCAGAGCATAATCTGCTGCTTATCATCTCCAGCTGCTTATCATCTCCAGCTGCTTATCATCTCCAGCTGATAATGAAAACATATTCAGGCCTTGGTAAACTTAGAATGTGGGTCAAGTGGCGGTATTTCTCGTATTTTGAGCCAGACTCTCAGTCAGTTGTGAAACAAAAATGGTCAGGCACGTGAAAGACTTCAGTGTCAGGCAAACAAAAACAAATTTCCCCAACAAGCACTGCCCCTCCCCCCCTCGCCACTTTTTTCTCTCCTTTTCACTGACTGAGAACCTCTAAGAGACTATTCCACTTGAATTTTCACTCTTTTTTTTTTGCTTGTTGATGAGCCTTGGCACTGAAATACTCCTGGTTGAATTTTACCCTAAGGTCAGTTTGAGGGGCTGGTTTCTCCAGCCTCTCCAACATTCTTCTTCTGTTCCTTCCACGTTTGTCACTCTTTTTTTCACTGTCAGACAAATTGAAAATCTCCTGGTTCTGTTCAATCCTGGGATTGAACTCATATGTTGCTTCCAAGGGGGCCTCTCCCATGGCCTTCAATCTCTGTCTCTTCATTTTCTCTTCATGTTTTAGTTGACTCACCTCTTGTGAATTCTTATACCCTAGTTAGAGAGTTAAGTTTGTGTGTCAGAGGATTCAAACTCACAGGGTCATTACTAACTTAAATAAACAAGAAGATCATAGAAAAGGTTGGAAGGAACAAGATGATGGGTTGCTACTAATAAGAATGTTACCTAATAGGTCAAATCTAGCTAGCTCTCATTTGATGGTTAAAAATTTAAATGTTTGGCAAATACTACAGGTCTAATTATTTTGGTGAACCATCCCCAAACAAAAGCTACTGGAGCAGTACCAACTTGAAGATATGAAAACAATTCCCAAAAAATGAGTTAGCTCAATGGAAAGAGCACTGGACTCTTGTGCAGGAGGTCGAGGGTTTGAGCCCCGGCCGGACCAACACTCAAGGTGTTAAAACAAGTGAGAAGAATATGCTACCTTTCCAGAACATCAAGAAATGGTTAGATACTCTAATCTTCTCGGATAGGGACAAATAAATGGAGGTCCCATCTCCTGCAGGGTTAAGGGTAAGAGATGTTAATTTCCCACGCACTAGNGGGGCAATCCAGAAGCAGGCCCAGGTTAGGGAACAGTGGAAAGATTTTGTCACTGCTCCAAGTGCCAAGAGGCCCCATAGGCAGAAAGTAAGTAAGTGGCTAGGGGTAATGGATAGGTCACAATACAGGTAGGTCTTGCCACTGATTTTATGTACTCAAATTAGAAGAGTAGGCTGATAGGCTTAAAAGCAGATAGAGCAGTTGTTTGATAGGAAGGTAGGCATATGGGAGATCAGTGTACAGCACCGGTATGAAAAGAAAGTGATTGAGGGGAGAGATAACAAAAATATTGAAGGGTAAAAAGATTGAAAGGATGGAAAAAAGTGAGGAGAAAAGGTGCAGAGTTTTAATGAAAGGAAATGGTGAAGGGAATTCATTATATGTACTTTGGATAGGTCATGATAGCTCACCAGCCTTCAGGTTCTCAAGCCAGCTTCCAGCTTCTGGTAGATTTTCATGCTTTATCATTTCAGGGATTCCTACAGCTCTTCGTACTGCAGAGCTTTTTAAAAGTCCGACTTGACCAATTGTAAACAAGTTGGATGTTACCCAATAAGAGAAAATGGCCTGTTGAGAAACAATAAAAAAATCTATTAAAAATAAAAAAACAAAATAATAAGAGTAATGATCTTTTTAATGCCAAAAAGCTACTCAAGCAGGCACAAAATCCCCACATTTGGCTTTTCCTCCCTTGCTTCCAGTTTGGTGTTCTCCAAAGGGTTACAAAGATGCCATGTTTTACTTTAATTGAACCCTGGCCAGAGTACTATGCAACAACAAAATGTCACCCTATCTTGCCACGTCATATATGCTAGAAAGCCATGGGTAGCAGAAAGAGTTCATTAACTAATTAATTGATTACCTCCCCCCTACTTATCTTGCTTTTCATTTTAGATTAATATGAATTTAGTCTAGAAGACCTTCACTTTTTTCGCATGTACAGGTCACTTCAGAAAGTGTAACAAAATAACTAACACAAAACTGTCTTTATTATTCACAATGTAAGAAACTAAAATTAATCACAGGGTAATTTTGAACATACTGCAGGAAAATGTGCTGTGAAAGGGATCAATGCAACAGCCATGATGCGAAAGATTGTCTTCATTGTCTCCATATGAGGAGTCCTGACTCCAACCTCACCACCTAGCTACAAGACAAAATCACACAAAGAACTTGAAAATTTTAAGATTTGCTATGCTTTCCCACATTCATAGGTAGTATAGGTTAGGCCTTTGAGGAACAATGACATATAAAACATTGTGCTCATCCCCAACAATATTAATAATAATAAAAATAACAATAATAGAAAATGATAATATACATCGAATCAAAATATGGCGTCCAATTTGAATTGCCATTGTTCTGGACTGACTAGCTCTGACACATGTGATAATCCTTTTGTGTTTCCACGTGAAGATGAGGCTAGTGAGCCGAAAACAATGGTAATTCAAATTGGACACCATATTTGGATTCAGTGAATTGATAAAAATAATAATAAATACAAAGATCATTATACTAATGAGGAAAATAACAATATTAATGACAGGAATTTAGCAGTGGACATTCCACAAGGTTACTCTTCACATTCACTGTTTCCAGGTCAATGTTAAATTTGGAATCAGTATGCTAGTTTTTGTGGAAAAAACAAACCACACACTCAACATACATATGATACCAGGATCAAGAATGTATAACATGAAGGGAAAAACAGTTGACTCCTAGTTTACTACTGATAACCACCAAGTACATAAACTTTTTTCTTTGGATGAACATCTTTCTTACTTCTATGGATGCCAACATGGAGAAACTGCAAATGATAGGTAAAACATAGTATGGATCACTTAATGTCAAGTCTTGAAACCAAAGATATCCTCCAGTCTTAAATGATTCTACCGGCAAATAAGCCATTCTTCTGATAGCAAAAAAGAATGAGATGAAAACAGGAAACTGGAAAAAAATGGCCCCTAAACTCTGAAAGAAAACAAAAAATTTACAACCTGTTAGACAAGTTTTATGATCAAACAGAATCCATGTTCACCAAATCATTAAATCAATAGATCCATGTCAGTATTTGAACAACTGCAAACTAAGCCCTCCCCTGACAAGTTATGCTTGATGTTAGGTTAGGAGAGGGTAGGTACACAGTTGCTTAGATATTAAACATCCATTCAAATTAATGATGGAGAAACAATTATTCAACCCAGGTCAAAGAATTGACCTTGGGAATAGTCAAGATCTTGGTAAAGGTGTTCTTCATATTAATCACCTTAACAGGGTGACATTTGTTCTCTCTGTAAATATTTCCCAGCATTGTAGCAGCTTGTGCTTGTGCCGCTGAATCACGAGAGTTAGACAGTTCTCTCATCTTTGCCTCTGCCTCTTGTAACTGCGGCCGCGCATTGTTCAGTCGAACTGTGTTGGCCTGTGACTTGATAATCAGAGGAAGAAGCAAGAGACGGATGCATACTGTGGTCACAGCTATGGAAGCACACCATGAGAGACCTCCAGTAACATGGAGAAACTCCAGGCATTGTTGAATAATACCAGTTGGGCCCCAGCCACCTAATCCTAAACTTGCCAAACTTGGCTCTCCAACAGAAGCTAGGTTATCTGCCAAATCATTAAACATTGTGCCCTCTGTGGCCATGGACTCTAAGACTGATCCTGAACCATCCTCCTGTACAAATGGATTTGTGACTTTCTCTTCTTGCAGAAGTTCTGTATTATCTGTCAAAGAAAAGTTCTTAAACAAAGCAAGTATAATAACTCAAAAATGTCAACTTGAGGCTGTGCAGATGAAGTAAAGCAGTTCTCTC